AAACATGTCATGCCTTGACGCCGTCTGGGCACGGTTGCTGTCCTAGGTGACGTGGCACGTTAATACCGAGTGACCGTTTTTACCGAGTGCACCCCGTCGGTAAACTTGTAGTTTTACCGAATGTCTGAATATACCGAGTGTGCTGACTCAGTAAAGCGGTTGACTACCGGGTGTTTATGTTTTCCGAGTGTTGGCACTCGGTAAGTACTTTTTTCCGAGTGCCCCGACTTTTGACACTCGGTAATTGTCGGGGCACTCGGTAAATACAGAGTCTCCGGTAGTGATGTTATTGCCTTTTGATTGTTTACCTATGCATTTTTCTTATCGGTTCCTTAATGCATTTGCTATTAAGGCTATAGTTCAGTAAAAATAACTGAGTTTTGTTCTATACAGTCAGTGTCTGAGTTAAACATTGATGTTGCTGCTAATTTTGTCTGAACGTAATGTCAAAACTTGAGTCAATCTCATTTCAAGTAACTAATTTGTTTCTGGTAACCATTCTTCTAAGCTACCTACGAGACCATTTACCATTGCCATTTACAGAGCATCAGCATGTTTTCCCCTTCAGTAAGCTGGCTGCACTGTTTTATCTGTGCTATACCTACTCCCAACAACATACGATACACATGAACAATAATAATCCCACAAATTTACCAGGTTGTCTATTTTCTTCTGACCTTATGTTATGACATTTGCCTATTTGTATCTAGCCTAGCCTATTCTACTTTTGTTGATTCAGATGCTTGCCAATTTTTTGTAGCCTGTAGGTTACAACAGCCAATATTTTTAGCACAAATGGATTAACAGGCAGTAGCTCTGTTGTGGCCTACGGAGTATAGGTTAGACACATAATTCCTTAATACTCCGTATGTTGATAGTTGCTCTCATGTGTATCCTTGAAAAACAGTGTGAACATTATGTACATGCTCTTTGCCACATGTATTTATCCACGGTAGATGCTTTTAGGAATTCTGACGCTGATTTTTTTTTATTTAGTTTCCCATATTACTACTACACGTTTTAGGTTTAGAACCTAGGAAAAATTGGTTATGTAGCATCAAAGATCATGAGAATCGAAAAATACCAAAAAAAAAACCTTTGTCACATGAAATACCAGCGAAAGATGCAAACGTCAATTGAAATTAGCATTCCGTCACGTTCAGTCACAATTGAGGCTAATGGCCTTCATCCCCACCCACACGAGCATTGCCCATTCTTCCTCCTCCGTCCATCCCACGCTTGCCAGCCGCGAGCAGCGTCGCCTCACCGTGCCGCCCTACGCACTGCCTGGCCACCGTGGTACTGAGCACAGACCTCGTTGGCCTTCCTAACGGCCGTGCCGTAAGATCTGCCCGCCGCCGTCTCCACGAACGCGTCACAGAGAACTGTTTCAACTTAGGTGTCCATTTTCAGGTAGCTCGAGAGTACAATACGATAAAAAAAATATAATAGTATTATGAAGCATCACATGGACCTGAGATTCTATGTAAGCACGTTTTTATAATTATTATCGTGCTATATTATATTGTCTTATTTGTTGTTCTTCTAATTATATAAAATAGGTCAAGTTATACTAATCCTGACTCTCGATACCCTTCTCTTCCAGAAAATGTGTGCTTTAACAAAAATGCCAGAATTTCGTAAAAGATACACTAGGAAAGAAATGGCTGCTGTGATTGGTGTATGTGAGAATAGAATACAACTTACCATAAGGCAGATATGTAAGTCGTTTGCTCATACTTTTATTACTTGTTTCCTATATATTATTCTAATTGTCACATTGTTTGCGGTTTCTTTTGCTATGTCTACATGTTCGAAAATATATGCTTTATGTTTTGATCACCAGGAGAAGATGCTCATCATAATTGACCCTAGATCTGTTAAAGAGTGGTGTAAAGACACACCAGCGCTGATGTATGCTAGATACACTCTTGGATTTAACTTGCAGTACACAGCTGCAATGAATATACATATTCCTGGATGAAACGATGATATCTTCAAATGAAAATTTATCCGTGAAAAAAAATATTGCAGATGACATAGATGGATAACTAACTCAGAGTCATCGTCGCTTGCAATAATAATACCTATGATTTAACTATTTTTATATATTGCTGATGGTGAATCTTGCCACAGATACTCAAGTGGATACCTTATTCTACAGTATATGTCTGCGTGGAATAGACCTAAAGCCACACATATTTATACGGTGAATACAACATACTTTGATTTAAGGTTTTGTGGAAGATTTTTCAAGACACGTAGTATTACTCATGTGACAGACACTAATATTTACATATATACTCGAATCTATATACAGGATGGTATGAAGATATGGCCGAACTTATGTGTGGATTTATTGGCGCACGAAAGAAATAAATATCAGAGATTTCTTCTTGCCGATATAAAATATTATTACGGAAAGATCTATAAAGTAGAGTTTGTGAGCCTGTGACGCCGCGCTCTTCGTGACTGTGTTAATTTTACAAACTTTTTTTTAGATTAAATATCACATTATTGTTGACATTGACTTTTTATAGTATTGTTATTTTATCGTGTCATCCGTATATTTTAAGTACAAAATATTAACTATCTCGTAATAACGTACGGACGTGCTATCTAGTTTCTTTATAAAAAAGAGTTCGATTCATTTTCCAATTGGAAAGGGACCTTTTAATTTTAACATTCTGTAGTCATCGAAGTTCATTTTACCTCTGCAATTGAACGCCGGATTTTTTTAGTTCCTTTAACTTTGAAACCAGTGGAAATTGCTCTGTAGGCGGTTACATTAACAGTTTTGTCCGACGCGATGTAATGTCAGCCATCCTTTCTACGTTACGTCAGCTACAAAACAATATTACGATAAATCAGACTACATTTATAATTTAAGAGCCAGATGATTTTATCAAAAAGTTTATAGAAATATTTTCTCTTAAATTATCTAAATACTTTTGCTTTTACAAAAAGTTGTGCCAAAAAAATCTTCCTCAAACCTGATCGAAAGATCATAGAATATTTTTTTTATCTCAAAACAAATACTAAACCAGTTTTAAGTTTGTTTACTAAAATCATGGTCTATATTATGGTTTCTAACTTTTAGTTATTTTAATCTTATAGTCTTTATTTGTTGTTTATTTCCTCTCGCTATCGGTTACGGCAGCGCTAGCGCCGGATGTCCGACCGACGTCTGCGTCTAGACTTTTGGATGCCCGCGCTTGCACTCCGTCTCCCCCTCGTGCACCTGCATCCCGCGCCCGCCTACGCGGGGCCCATGGTCCACCGACTGCACGTGGGGAGTCCCTGCTTGCGTCCCCTCCGCTTCTCACGCGCATGCATGAGGCCAGCGCAGCAAGAGGCTACGCCAACATCCAGAAAGAGGGGAAGGCGGCGTATGCCCAGCCGGCGCCGAGAGGAGGAGGAGGAGACACCGAGGCGAAGGTGAGGCAGCGGATCTACTTTTGAAACATCTGGATACAACACTAGCAACATACGTCTGAAGACAGATGAAACACATGAAACATGCATCTGAAACACTAGCTGCAACATTAAATCTACTTTTGAAACATCCATATAAAACACTTGCAACATATGTACAAAACAACTGAAACACTCGAAACATGTGTATGAAACACTTGCAAAAACACCTGAAAACACTTTATATGTGTAAAAACATATGCAATATCCAGATGAAACACTTGCAAATATACGTTTGGAAAACGAGATGGAACATTTGGAACATACACTTGAAACATATGTGTGTAGCCACTGCAATATGTGCAACATTCCAATCTACTTTTATAACATCAAGATGAAACACTTGCAACATCTAGATGAACATCTAAAACACTTGAAACATACTCTTGCAACATGAGCTTTGCTTGGACGAATGGAGGCACACTAGCGTGGAGGTCGACGACGGCACGTGGACCTCGCTGAGCGACAACAGCACGGGCAACTCGCTGGCAGGCGCGGCGTCACACAAATCTCGTTCCGCTCGCTTGCTTGCTGGAGCATCCGTCATGGAGGCTCGCCGGCTCGGTAGAGGCGGTCGCGGCGAGGAGGCAACACGGTGGAGGCGGGCGAGGAGGCAGCGTGGAGGAGGCCGCGGGGATGGGCATGGCATTACGGGGGACTGGCGCGCGGGGAGTCAGAGTGGGGTGGGCGGATGGGCACGGCGGCGCAAGAGGAAACAGCGCAGCGAGCATCCGGGCGCGCGGACGGGACGAGCGGATAGGATCGTTGGGCGAGCGACGCGTGCAGGAGTAAGGGAGGGAGGCATCCGGCTGTCCGAACGTCTTAATTGTATCATTATCATATCTGTTACATTATGAATCCGTGTGTCCATAGTCAATCTGTTCTTTTTTGTCCTAGCGGTTTTTCCTTTATTATCGTCATCAAGGAAAGGTTAGCAATATTGGAAGTGGTCCCATGGTGGGTGTTGAATCGTGAACAAGCTGACACATAGTGTCGATCCAAACGTATCGTCGAAGTGGTGATTGGTGGACGTTCCTGTCTTGCTGGCACCTTCGATGTATGTCTTTGAGCCGTGCCACTTCTTTCCGAAGTCCGAACCAGTGGGGATTGCATTTTCATTTTCCAGGCCTTTGACAGTCCATCTTTTCCACAAAGCTGCTACTATTATATAATTGATATTTAAATAAGCCAAGGTGACGGGGCCTTGTTGCAACCAAGAAAGAACATGAACCACCATCGAACACTTCCACTACCACTTCAACATCAACTTCTTTTTCGTTGTTGAACAAATATCACACAATTACACGGTCAACTTCACTCATGCTTTGTTTTCCTTCTCGAGACGGACCTCCAAATTCTTCTGACGACAGTTTTTCCACGACGGGCGAACAATTTCTTCTGATCACGAAACATCAATTAATGCAGTACAAGTACTACCCCTCAGTGAAGTCCATGGACTACGGACACGTCTTGTAAGCTTTTATTTACTCATTCACCAAGCCGCTATCTTCTTGGGTGCTGGTTGATCACTGTGGCTTCCCGGGGTTGAGAAAGGGGCAAGCTTGCGGCGGCGGGACAGCACCTGACGCCGACACGGCAGCGGCCTCGCTGAGCCTCTCCGCGAGCACCACCACCTCGCCGCTGTCCTCCTCGGAGGTAGCCACCACCTTGGGGCCCTTGAGAAGGCCTCCCAAAAGCTCCCCGGGGTCGTAGTATACCTCCACGTCCTCCGCCCGCAGCTGCTCATCCACCTACTCACATTCACACAATGAGTCAGTGACAGAAAGACGACTGATAGCGTCATCTATTTATCACAAATTCGTCATTAGTAACTTTTTGTGGTGCTAATAAAGAAGAGATAAGGATCAGCTGTATCTTGCTGCGCTACATAACTATCGTGTCACTTTTATTACTAGTAAATCGTATTCTGGTGAACATAACAAAATGGTCAATTATTCATCACTAGCCATACACTAAACAGGAGTATCAGGAAATAGTGCGGCGACTTTTTTTTACCAACACGTGAACCGAACTGTCGATGGCTACGTCTACGTGTGCGTGTACGTACTAGCATAGCATCAACTGAGCGCGGGGCAAAGGAAGTAATATAACCTTGAGGACGGCGACGCCGTGGAACTCGACCTTATCGCCGGTGGCGGCGTGGCCCTTGTAGGGTCCCTCCTTGTGGCCCCAGTGCCGGAACTTGAAGGCGATCACCGGCGGGCCGGAGTACACCTTGAGCACCTCCCACGCGAAGCCGCGCGGGAACGCGGCGCGGAACAGGTCGTGCGAGGACTGGAACGTCTCGGCGGAGGCGTCGTACGCGCCCGCGCTCGGCAGCAGCGGGCCGTCCAGCAGCGCGTTGTAGCTGCCCATGGCCAGCGTCTCCTCCCCGGTCCGGGGACGCCCGCCGTTCACGGACAGGCTGAACTTGCCCGGGCTCACGGACTTGAAGTCCGACAGCCGCGCCTTGTGCGACAGCTCCATCTCCCACGTCTTGATCGCGTTCTGCACCACCTCCTCCAGCGAGCCCGCCGGCCACTCCTGCACGCCACGCCGTCGTCAGCAACCAAGATGCTATCTGTGCATGTGTGAAGAAGAAACCAACACGTCGTCGAACCTGCGTGCGCTCGGCCTCGAAGAGGGCGTTCACGGCGTCGTAAGAGGGCGGCGCGCCGTGCCGCCACACGGTGTGCTTCTCGCCCTCGCCAGCCAGGTGGGACCGGTAGCGGTCGCGGCCGGAGGAGTCCGCCGCCGTCGCCTCCATCTGATCGATCTGTGCACGCGCAACAAGGTCCACGGTTTGCACGGCCAGGCGTTTGTGGGGGCTGTCTGGTGCGCGATAGCTCGGTTTTAAAGGGGTGTGCGTACACGTCAGTACGCTCGCGCATTGGTCCACTCCAAAACCCACGGTGTGCTGTGTGTGAATTGGGATGCGCGGGCCGTTGCGGGTTCTTACAGATCGACGTGCATTGCTGTCGTTGGATACTACGTCGCGCAACTCGCACAACGAACAATAGATTCATAGGCAAGTCTAATTGACTGCGTTTTTTGGACTTTGTCCAGGTGCAGTGCATGAATATGATTCATCCGTCGCTAGTGTCGTCTGTGTGCCGTCGAAGTACTCCAATTGGGAGAACTTGTGTCCGGGGTCGGAGTGATGATTATGGTGTGCTACTGCGAAGATATGCATGGAGGATGGCGCAATTGGATGTATATAATCCAATCTACGAAGTAGACTGAATTGTTTCTTGCCCCGCCTAGCAACAACACCGGTCGTTGGATTTTATAGGCTACTGTGTAGCGTGTCCGTGCGTTGTTATGAGATAACTAATAATTTATACTAAAAACACACGGATCGCACGATAAGATAACAATACTGTGAAATTAAATACCCACATTAAAATGGCATCAATCCAAAAAACAAAGTTCGTAAAATTAACACGGTCACGAAGAGCACGGCATCGCAAGCTCACCGACTCTACTATATAGGCCTTTTCAAATTTTTGTTGACTCAGATAATTAACAAATAAGCAATGCCCCACCACATTTTTGTTGACTATTCACTGTGTTTTTTTAAGAAAACATGTGATGGAAAGACATTGTTGGTTTTTAACTTTTTTTACATCATCACTAATCCAATTGAAGAGAGAGGACCATAATTTTTTTTAAGAAAACAATGTCAATGAATGGTCACATCCTCAGAAAACTGAACTGGTTGTCATCTTCCTATTTTTGCCAGTAAAATTATCTGAGATTTATATGTATAACCTGAAAACTGAACTGCTTGTCATCTTTCTATTTTTGCCAGTAAAATTATCAGAGCTTCATATTTATAACCTGGACTCAACATGGTCATACCAAGACATAAAAAGTTACCTTAGTTACAATATCATTATATTAAGCTCAATAACATAGCAGCTGATTGTGCTCTGCATCAAGCATCAGTGTATCAATGTCAACCATTGACTCATCCTCTAGAGTTTACAAATATAAGCCATGACAATAAATTGCAACAATTTAGGGCAAGTTCAGTGAGAAATCTCTCTTTTTGAAGGTTTAACTTTAGTGAGAAATCATCATTCTTTTTCTTGCCTGCCTACATCAGATTGTTCAAAAATAAACAAAGATCAATCCACAGACATTTTATAGTGCAGAGATAACTTTGTGACCTGGCTTGGTGTTGCTGTTACGGGAACATCAATTCAGCGAGCGAGGTCTAGAGGTGCAAAGGCTTGATGCCAAACATTTGAATACCATCCAGTGTAATAAAAAAATTAGCAAGCCAAAAATTCAGTGGCCATAAAAAAAGTTGACAAGAGAAAAGTATCTAATATATTTTACCAGTAAAGTATCTAACATTGGTACATCAAGCTCATGAGTTGAGACTATCAGTAAATAAATAAGGCCCGAGTTACTTGAAACGAGATGGGTACAGATAAATGGCTAACTATGCTAAAAAACAATGGCATCCAAATGTGCAGGCACACAATATCGAAAAATAGATGATTAACTATATAACAAGAACGTCTGCAGCATCATGAACTATGGTTGTGTAACATCATGAACGGCGAGCGATGGAGGACGGGCGACGTCAATCGGTCTACATATGTGAAGACGACGACTCGGGTGCACGACTCAGGTGGAATCGAGGTAGCGGCGCGGTAGCCGAGGACGACGGCTCGGGTGCATGGCGCGGGCGAACCGCGAGGACTACGGCGCGGACGTCGTGGAGGCGGCGGTGTTTCCAGGTGCACGATGCGGGCGAAAGGCGAGGACGGCTGCGCGACATTGTGGAGGCGGCAGTGTGGCGCACGGGGAGGATGACGGCGCGGGCGCACAGACCAGACGATGGAGCAGGTCGTGGAGGGGAGATCGCACGGGGAGGTGATCTTGCGGCGATCGATGATGTAGCCATAGGTGCATCCACCGGTAGGCAGACGGTGGATGATCCATTGCTGTTACTTCTCCACTACATGACGAGGAAGAAGTAGGGGCGGCTCGATCATGCAGGGGCTTGAGGAATGGGGCACGCGACGATCGTCTCCGTGCAGCGACCAGTGACGCGCTTGAGTCCTACCAAGAAGACGCGTTCAATCGTGCAACGACGAGCGACGATGGTCTTCCATGTTTGTAGCGCATGCAAATCAGGGTCAAGAATTTCATATTTGTGGCACGAGGGCGGTATGATCGAGCGTGAGACGTGGGTGATCGCTTTCCTTGTTTGAGGCAATTAGGGTCAAGACTTTTCGTGTTTGTAGCGCATGCAAATCAGGGTCCAGACTTTCCGTATTTGTAGCGCATGCAAATCAGGGTCAAGACTTTCTGTGTTTGTCGCAAGAGGGCGGTGCATGCGGGAGATGTCGTGGGATCGCACAGGCGTGGGCAGACGGACAAACTAAAACAAATGTCGCACCAAAAAATATTCACACTTTATTCTTTTTAGTTGTAGGAGATATAGGAGCTACGATTATCCAAGTTACCTACCATCGGGGCTCACATCCAAACAACCCTATTTCTATTTTTATTATAATTCAAACTGTTTTAAGTTTACTAAGTTTCTACAAAAAGATATCAATATTTATAATACCAAATAACTATTATCCATAACATGAGAAATATAATTTTGTAGTACACCTAAATGGTTTTATAATTTTATAGTACTTCCACTATAGTTTTTTTTTTTTGGAAACAAACACGCAGAGTCTATTTATTCATTCACAAGAGGTTCAGCCAAGTAGTGAACCAAAATATCAGATACAAAGTCAGGGAGGGGATCAAGTCAAACATGTGGTTGATCCAAGGGTCCCAATCAAGACTTAGACGTGCGAGATCATGTGCACTCCTATTACACGGTCTAGGAATATGGAAAACTTGAACTGAATCAAAGCAAAACGAAATTAGCTCCCCTCAGCTACTGCGAATATGCATGGAGGACTCCGCAATTGGATGAATTGCCCAATTTCTAGAGTTACAGAGTAGACTGAATTGTTTCTTGTCCTCCACCCATCCCCTACCCCTCACCCCCAACCAAAAACAAACTTTGGAACTCTTTGGTTTAGAGATGAGAAAGGCAGGCCTAGCAGCAACAACCGTCATTGGATTTTGGAGGCTAGGAGCTAGGAGCCTAGATTGAATAACACTATGTCACCTCCAATGGTTATTTATGAACTAGCTCTAAGTATATTGTTTTATATTTAAATATATAGAAGAAAAGGAAAACACATATCTTGATCAAGAGCTAGTCTCATGTACATGCTTCAAGATCATGTGAAGTTGTCATGTGGGGTCATTCGTATTATGAACCGTGTGTTAAAAGTTAATATTATTGGAGAAGTTGTTTTACAACTAGTAACTATCTCATATTATTGAGCTAGGATGACCTAGGCTCCAACCAAACAACCATATTTCTATCTTTGTTATAATTCAAATTGTTTCAAGTTTGACTAAGTTTTATACAAAAAATATCCAATTTGACAATACAAAATAAGTATTATTAGACCCAATGATATGAAATATAATTTTATATATCTAAATGGTTTTATAAGTGTTGCTACTTGTCTCCATAAATTTGATTAAGCTTAGGATAATTTGACAAAGAAAAAGCTAGAAATAAAACCGTTTTTAGGACAGGAGGAGTAATTTCTTTCTTTATTTTATTTTTTTATGACGAATTGATGAGTAAAGGTACAAATGGTGACGCTCGATAGGACAGCGGTCACGTCTTTTTCCTTCATTCTTCCTTCTTCATTTTCATTTTCATTTTCTATATACCCATCTTTTTTTCTTTTCTTCCTTTTTTCCACATTGTTTTCTTCTCCCTCCTTTCCAAACTCATCCTACGTACTCATTTGCTCATATATGCTTTAAACAAAAGTTTCTTCAGCTATCTTTCTTTTTTTTTGAAAAAAATAACTACAAAAGTATTTTTTTTAAAAAATATATGTCCAAAAATTTTTGAAGCTAGAAATTGTGTTTTGATAAGTTTTTATATGTAACTTTGTTGATCTGAGGTTTAGAAAGAAAATCAGGTACGATCTGAGTTGTTAAGGAAAAAAACTTGTATAAAGACATTGTTCAACGAAGTTGTTCTAGAAACTAGCTTCGAACAAGTTTTTTTTCTTCTTGAAAAGGCGAATTATGTTGTTGTCATTTGAAAGTTTAATTTATTACTTTGCAGGAGATGATTGATCTTGCCGTGCTAGATTTATTTATCCAGCTGCTGACAGCTTCACTAGCGGCAAAGGCGCTAGGGGGACACACCCTAATCCTCCAGTTAAAACAGGAGGATCACCTTTAATTCTTGTGCTAACTAATGTGTATTAAGTGAACTTGGCCCCTCTTGCCCTATCAAAAAAAAAAAAAACTTAGCCCCTCTTGCTAGCTAACCACTACTACGTCTTTTTTACTATGGTCCCCCTATATCAATTTTCTGGCTCCGCCCTGACTAGCGGCCGGATTAGGCTTCATGTGATATGATGCGGAGAGGCGGCTAAGCACGGATAAGCAAATGCAAAGGTCGATCTTCACGCCTGATTGGTGAACTGAGAATCAAAGCATTAGATGAACAAATTGTTTGTCAAATGATGCTGTGACGAAGACCAAAAGACAAACATAATATAATCGAAGTAGTACTCGGCATGCCCGGCCTGCTCGCTGTCTCTCGTTCGTCGTTCCTCCCGTGACCAAGTCGTCATCTCGTTTTTATGTACCCTATCACATCCTTGCGTTGGTACGGGATAACTAAATTTTTATATTAAAAACATATGGATCGTACAAGTGATATATTTAGATAACTAATATATGTATATATACTCAAAATAATCTTTAAAATTACATAGATCGGTCACGGCACATTTGCAGGAGATGATTGATCTTGCCGTGCTAGATTTATTTATCCAGCTGCTGACAGCTTCACTAGCGGCAGAGGCGCTAGGGGGACACACCCTAATCCTCCAGTTAAAACAGGAGGATCACCTTTAATTCTTGTGCTAACTAATGTGTATTAAGTGAACTTGGCCCCTCTTGCCCTATCCAAAAAAAAAAAAAAAAACTTAGCCCCTCTTGCTAGCTAACCACTACTATGTCTTTTTGACTATGGTCCCCCTATATCAATTTTCTGGCTCCGCCCCGACTAGCGGCCGGATTAGGCTTCATGTGATATGATGCGGAGAGGCGGCTAAGCACGGATAAGCAAATGCAACGGTCGATCTTCACGCCTGATTGGTGAACTGAGAATCAATGTATTAGATGAACAAAGTGTTTGTCAAATGATGCTGTGACGAAGACCAAAAGACAAACATAATATAATCGAAGTAGTACTCGGCATGCCCGGCCTGCTCGCTGTCTCTCGTTCGTCGTTCCTCCCGTGACCAGTCGTCATCTCCTTTTTATCTACCAGGTAGCATAGCATGCTACGAAATAACTAAACTTTTATATTAAAAACATATGGATCGTAAAAGTAATATATTTAGATAACTAATATATGTATATATACTCAAAATAATCATTAAAATTACAGAGATCGGTCACAGCACACCATTGCTAGGCAAGCAATCATTTAGCATGTTTAAATAACGGCGGTACATTGTTTCTATTTAATCATCAACGTCTAAAATAATCTTTCATCATTTAACATTGGACAAATATGAGCTCGGCACTTTTCGATACATCGATTTATAGATGCATTAATCTAAAATAAATTTGAATGTGGTAGTAGACTAATATTTATTCACAAATCGATTGCAGAATTGAAACAAAGGGAACTTGTAATAACCAGCACGTGCAATTTCTTTTAGATACATTTTGAACATATTGTTTTATTGCGGGATGGTTAACATCATCCACAAACTGAAACTATCTTGCTGCTGCTAATGTGCAATCCAGTGATCCAATAACATCCCTTCTATACCTAAATAAAGATATATATATTCAAAGATATACATGTAGTGCATATTCAGAGATATATTTTGCAGTCTTGTTGGGGTTGGTCTCTTTGTAGTTTATACTGACCTTTAAATTCTCTTGAGGGTCCAATAACAACCTCTGTATTCTTGCTTGTAGCCTACCAAAGGAAATGACCAAAAAGCATGATTTAGAAAACAATCTTGACACATAGTATATGGAGTGTCATCTTACAGGTTTTTACTTCTCTACAACTATGAATGATACAGGAAATTAAAAAAAATCAAATTCACAGGTATGATCTTTCGATAGGCAGTTTAATAGAATAAGTAGCTAGATGACCAAGTGAAACATATCATCACCACACAAGCAAGAACATCACAAAGGACAAATCGATTAGTGATTTTACCTTGGAGAGGGGTGGCGGCTCTTCATACTGGAGGCTACAGAGGGTCGGCTCAATTTGTTGCACGGCTCATGGAGAAGGGCAGAGATGCTTCTTGGACGATGGAGAAAGATGCCGCTACCTCTCCACGTCAAACGTCCAGAATGCATGCCTCTTACTTTTCTTACTTGCTGCAACGCATGAAAAATTCTCCTCCTCTTGGCATGTCCATTCAACCTAATCTCCAACTGGAATTGAGGGTTACCTTCACAACCACTGTATAGTAGAAAAATAGCAAATTTTCTCTGTATTTTAGCCATGGTGTTTGCAGCAAGCTAGGTTCAAATCACTAACAAGAGACCTCCTATATGAAGAGATACTTTCAATATGAAAGCCTCATAGTTCCAAACTACTGCTATGCACATTGTTTCATTCAAGCTGGATTTTTTCAAAGCTAGATGTTAAACCTTCAGTTTCTATAGATTTTCCAGGGGCTTTCTGTTATAGATTTCCAGGAGATGGATCAATTTATGGCAATCTTATGCTTCAGGAACAGGATCTGTTTATAACATGTTCAAGTGGATCAAATAGGCTGCACATATGCACAGTCGTGTGCTGCAATGTGTATCTTCTATGGCTTTATATTTGAAAATAAAATTAGACAGATAACTTATATGATCATATCTTATGATGCCTAGGGTGATAATATATGCCCACTAATCTATATCTGATAAATGAGAAGCCCCAGGATAAAATGTGCATTTGCTAAAAATGATAATATTTGCTGACTAATGAGGGAGGAGGTTGTCATTTACCGAAATTAACAAAATAACAAATGTACACGCTAAACTCATGCTGGATTTGTATGTCTAATATTGACATTGACTCACTTAAGTAGCATTGAACGGTTTAAGATTTACCTGAGTGCATGGCCGTGCCCAAGAATTGTTGCCTCACCAAAGACATAGACCAACAGAACAATGAAAGTTACTGTCATTTCAAACTCTACACCTACAATACCATAGCAAAACCCCACGATGAAGGTTGCACACACAAACTCCACTGCATAAGCACTCCTTTGCATTAAAGTAAATGACATTTTAGTAAGAAAGTTTATAATTGCAGTGTTAATTTTGTAGGCAGCCCAAAACATGAGAGGGATACATGAAGGCAAAGAGATGTAAGCTTGTGATCTTGTGTCTTGCTAATGCAGATCAACATGTGTCCTGCAGGATCCATGAAGGATGCACATTGGCATTTTTACTAAACACATTTCAGCCTAGGTGATCTACTCCCTAAGATTGACAATAGGTCTCTACCAAATAGTTAGGGAGGTTCATCCTCCATTAAACTTCTAGCAACAATGCATTGCATAAACTTAAGAGAAGTCCTACCATAGCTATCTGTGCTCCCGCAGTACGTGCAATGTCTCCGTAAGGATCAGTATGGAATTGAAGGGGCTATATACTTGTGGTTGACACCACAGGAAATTGATTGCATAGTCTTTACTAATCACTACCCGTTATCTATGCACTTTCTAGAAATTGAACACTCGTTGCCTTGCTTCAATGTCAGTGCCTGAAAATATAGTACAGACAAATGAGACTAACCATATCACATAGATCAGTTTAGTGCTTATCTATAGTCATTTAGAACCTGTTGTGTTTGTTGGCTTGAGGATTCCCTAGAGCTTGTTGCAGTTCTTGTAACCAACGAACTTGTTTTTTTTTCCTTGAAAACAATATAGACAGTGGACAGTAATGACTAAGTGATCTACCTCGGAGCATGGTAAAGTCTACACCAAAGAACCATATGGATAATTAAAAGCTTGGTAGTATCCAGGAAAGATTGGGATTGCCAGCATAGCCAAGGGTAAGGAATCTGAAAATAGCCGATGCGGGGTTTAACCACTTATCTTTTGATTTGCCATCTAGAAGAGCAAGCATTGCAGCTGTACACTGCCTTTTGGCAGGCTGAGACAGCCAGAATAATTTGTGGTGAGTCCTCTGATTGTGGACTAAAGAAAATACACAGACTATAATTCATTCTAAATCCATAATTCGTAGCCACGATAATTTTAGTTTAATCAGGAAATCATGATAGATAACAGGAGTTTTTCCCCTTATCTTGCAATTGTTTGCCTCTATCTGGAACTAACTGAAACCTGACCCTGAGCGTAGCGACCTTGGTGCAGTGCTATCTATTTTATAGAATGAAGTGGAGAGAGGGTTAGAGAAAATTATATCTAAATATAAAAAGAGGACATATTCTATTACCAGTAGAGTTAGAGAGTACAGAACTACTCCGTCCATGATGACCTGTGCTACTGTTGATGTCTTGATTAGCAGAACCTCTTTAATCTTAAATGGCCACAAGTATAGTTGTCAGTTCTAACTGTAGTAAAAAGAATAATCAAAACTACAGTTGAATATGCTAGCTTTTATTGAAGCAATCACACAGAAAAATCAATAGTGCATACAAGTTTCATTTTCAGTCTTCACCTAATGAAACCATACAATGTTTGAGACCACTGAACTATGGAAAATTTGAAGATGTAGCAATTTTTTTGCAGGAAATAGTCATACTGAAATTAGACACATGGAAACAGTCATATGGGAATTAGCAGTGGCAATGCCCACCGAGCAGCAACAGTTACCACAACACCCACCAAGACACATTGAGCGTCATCATGTGACAAAAAATAAACATTTTTAATCGCCGTGAGACTGCAGCTTCAGGGACATTTTGTCGAACAACATACCTGCACCAACATGGCGGTAAGCAGCTTCTCATAATGTGGAGGGCGCCGGGGCCAAGTTCGCTCGCCGGTCGCTGCCATATAGGGTATGAGGGCGGTGTCGCTATGGGATCCGCCGCCTCGTAGTCGCAGGTTGCCGTCGCACCGCAGCCCGCCACTGTGCGCCTGTGCCCACACCGTGTGCGTACGAACCCGGAGGTGGCGGAGGTAGTGGCAATGGAGGTCCGGAGGGCAGGCCATGGGATGACGGTTGCGGCGAAATCCCTGCACGCGGGTTGCATGACGCCACGGCAAAGGCCCGGAGCGTGGGATGGGGGGCACCGACGGCGGCCTCGGCTGCGACGGAAGCCCAGAACGCGGATCGCAGGACGTTGCGCGCCTGCGTGGTGAAGGCCTAGAGCGCGGGTCGCGAGGAACCGACGGCGGTGGCCAGGCGCTGGTGAAGATCGATGGTGCAGGTGGAGACCGCGCGGGATGGGGAGTGAGATCCGGAGCGCGAGCGACAGGGAAGTTGATGGGGAGCGTGGTTTCCTTTCTTGCCGGACGGAGCATTCACGCGAGGGAGTTTCCTTTCTGGCCGGACGGAGCCCTCACGCGAGGGAGTTTCCTTTCTTGTTGGCGTCACGCGAGGGCCTTGCAGGATCGCAGGCGTCCGGTAGACTGACGAGCCGAGCGAGGGAGCGAGATCGCACCAGGCACGACGATGGACCTACGTTAAAATATCGCACCAAAAAATCTTGGGTACAGAATTATGATGGTCTCCCTATTTTCCACTATGTAGTATAGAATTACTACTATATCCATAAATTTAAAGGGTACTCATATCAAGATTTCTTAACATGAATCCATGTCAGGCTTATGATACATGTAGATTGTGATTCACCTAAGAAAGATAATTTTCGGTCTGCCTGTGCAGTTCCAAGTCCTGGATGTTTTCTTCTCCCTATAAATAATCGTCTTTCATAATCATACTCAGTCTTGCAGACCACATTGCCATGACAAACCTCAATCGGCAATAAGAACCCATCTGTAACAAATTTTACTAATCTAATGGTACTAATCTCTTCCTTCCATGTACAATCATATGACATGCTATCATATTTTCGGCTTCTTTCGCACGGGAGTAACTGCTAGTTAAAAAAAATCGTCATCTTGCAACAGAATCAAAGGAGACGGCTGGTCTTATCAGCCAGCTTATTCGCTGGCTTATAAGCCATGGTACAATATTTTTCTCTCTAAAAAAATCAGCACCAGCGGCTTTACAGCCAGCCGAACACTCCCTCTTGCTGCGGCTAGCACTGTGGCACGCAGCACTTCTGCACTTGTGAAGAAGGATGTTGCTCCAGAACCAGCACTTCTGCACTTGTGAAGAAGGATGCTGCTCCAGAACCAGAAGTGCATGAACCGATGAGGCACGCCAGCGACTTGTTGATGCTCTCTGGACGTCAGCATCCAAGGCTGCTCAAACGAGATGCAGATGGAGCTGCACTTGAATGCATGCTATGATGCTAGTGTTCAGTGTTCACGGTCAATTGGATCGACCTCGCAAATTAAAGAGCGTGCATGCATGGATCTCGGGCTTGGCACGAGCGACTTGTATAGCCCAGGAGCACACTAGGAAGGAGTATTTACTAGGCTCTACTCTAGAGTTGCCTCAAAATCAGGCCATGTTGAGTTCCAAAAAATTTTCACCCCAAAGTGTCACATCGAATCTTGCGGCACATGCATGGAGTATTAAATATAGACGAAAAAAACTAATTGCATAGTTTGGTTGAAAATCACGAGACGAATGTTTTAAGCCTAATTAGGCCATGATTAGCCATGAGTGCTACAGTACCAACATGCGCTAATGATGGATTAATTAGGCTTAATAAATTTGTCTCGCAGTTTCCAGGCGAACTATGTAATTAGTTTTTTTATTAGTATCCGAAAACCCCTTCCAACATCCCCCGAAACATCTGATGTGACATCCAAAAGTTTTCATTTCGCGAACTAAACACACCCTCAGTAGTTTCATTTCGCGAACTAAACACACCCTCAGTAGGGAACCTACAAGCATCTTTTACTAGCTCATTGTCCTTCCAACTCGCTACACTGCCTATTTTATCTTTTGGAAGAAACATATTGGAGGAGGAAGTGAGTCTAGTTTATCTAGTTGGAATAGAAGGTGTCGACATGCATCCCAAGTTCCCAACCACCTAGGTCTAAATCATCATTAACTCAAATTTGGGTGCCTTTTTTCTTCTTAATAGAAATCATGGATTTCCAGTACTACATAATGGACCAATTGCAACGGCTCTTACTGTTGCTCCTAAATGGCTTCCGTTTTTGTTTGAGTGGGAACATATTAAGCCATGATGGCCAATATATGACTGAATTCTAAGAATCAGATATATAATACTATGATGCAAGACAAAAACAAATCACTTGTGTCACCAAAATGGTGCATATCAATGACTAATTCAAAAATCCCGATGTCCATCCTGGCACAAGGGAAACTACAACAAATAGACAGAGTAGAGATGGAAATGCACGTTCCAGCAGATAGTTGTGCATTCTGAAAGCTGGTAAAGTTCTGAGCTATTTTTCGTTCTCTTTTATATGTCCTATTTACACAACTGATTGTGCAGCTCACTTTTCAGAGTAAAACCATATACCAGCTGGTACTGGTAGCAACAAGAAACCGTCTTCTGCATTTTCTTGTTTCACAACCACACTGGTACAACCCCGTTTCGAAAAAAAAGAGAAGTCCAAAGGGGTAAAGAAAGTCAACATGGTGGTAAGGCATATTGCGTATGGTTTCATAAAATAATTACCAGTCCCAAATCTCCGAGAGAGTGACGTTTGGATATCTCCTAGTCAGATCACTCTTCATTTTCAGAACAATAATAATAACCTATCTCATGACAGCAATGAAGATTGAATAAAGAAAGTCATAGAAGCAAATAAAAGTACAAGAGGTCTTCACGAAATATATCACGCTCATAATATGTAAGGTAAAAGGGCAGTTCAACAGGCTGCTTCATTGAGCCAAACATAAGTAAAAAATGCATTTGTGAGACCTTATTACCTGCCAAACTACTTGAAAATTCCTCCGAACTCATTCGACTCATTGGATTTCAGCTTATATCCTCGTGCACACAGAACAAAGTAGTTAACCAACAAAGAAGCTGATTGACAAAAGGAGCATAGCACTATAATAGTAAAGATTTCTGAATCCCAAACAACTGAGATGCCAGGCCGTCAAACTAGGTACCTCATACTTCTGGAATTGTTCACCCAGCAGTCATCGACCCTGCACTTTTTAATTACGAGTTCCTGTCAAGTGTCCAAGTCAAAGTAATATTTCAGTTGATTAAGCATCCAGGAGATTAAAATGTAAGTATATCGAAAGGGAATTTCTTAAAAAATATATATTTCAGGAGCTGTGCTGTGGTTGTGCCTATGGATATCTACACAATCCATCCTTAGGATGGTAGCCAAGTTAACATGCAGCTGTCTCATCTATACTTTAGTCACTTTTAGCTACCCTTTTGTAACTAAAAGTCACTAAACTTTAGTGACCCTTAAATTTTAGTGGAGGTGTTTGGCATTTTAGTGACTAAAAGTGACTAAAGTTTAGCAGGAGGGGTGAACCAAACAGGCCCTCAATCTCTAATCATACAGTTCAATCTTGCAAAACAGGGAAAATATTTCCATGATCCGAACAAACCTGCTCCTACCTACGTGTACGACAGTACGAGGGCAACCTGACAGGTGAGAACCCTCCATAGAGCAGACAAGATCTGTGTTTGCCTTTTGCTACAGCCCACAAACATAATATTCCATGTCTCGGTAAGTCTTAAACTCACTGCAAACTGAGGCAGTATGCACAAGCTGCGAAAATACAGGCGAAAACTGAAATTTTGACCCTCTCAGTTCCCAAATACTATCCTGAGTACTGATTAAAATGCCCTTAGATCAATGCAGTGTTCTTCAAAGCTCCCAATGGGCCGGAAGCAAAAACATGGGCGAACTGAACTTGGGAGACTGTCCAAGTAATTTCTGATGTTTGGCTGAAAGTTTAAACGAACTTCTGGAGATTTGGACTCAAAAGCCCCTTTATCCCAAATCCCAAAACTCTGGGACAACTAAATTTGAGAGCCAATTATATTAGATCAAACGGAAAGAAAATGGTAAATAAATAAAAATACATACGTAGCATGAAATGCATTAGGAATCGAATGCGCTCGCGGCGCGGATCGGAGCAAGGAACACCCGACGGGGAATCAATCGAGCCAACCTAGATGGGGGAGAGGAGCTGGGCGAGGCGCGGCTTGGGCTCGGAGTTCATGCCGATGAGGATGACGAGGGGAATGAAGCCGTAGTGGGCCACTACCTTGGCCTTCTTCATCGCCCACGTGCTCCACTCCCGCGCCCGCCGCGCCGCGCTCTCCGCCGCTGACTCAGCCCCGTCCGCCAGGGCCTTTCCCCGCCGCGCCAGATGCCATCTCCGCCTCCATCAGTTGAGAAGCCGGCTTATTTTTTTTTTAGACGTACCGGTATTTTTCTCTCACAATATTTCACAGTATAACCAGCATCTTTGACGCCAGGAGGCCGCTGACGGATGAGTCGCACAGGGAGGATGCGATTGCTAAGATTCTCAGCGTGTTTAGTTCCACCTCAACTTCTAAAAAGTTGCTATAGTACCTATCACATTGAATGTTTACGGTTCATGTACGAAGCATTAAATGTAGACGAAAAGATAAACTAATTGCACAGTTTGGTGGGAAATTACGAGACAAACGTTTTGAACCTAATTAGTCTATATTTAAACACTATTTGCCAAATAAAAACGAACGTGCTACAGTAACTCCAAAATCCAAATTCCTACCACTAAACAAGGGCTCTGTCTGACCCCAACCTATAAGACTTATTTATCCTTAGATAACGCTATAGATAAAAACTTTAATATCTATTTTTGTCTTATTTAACAATAAATCTAAAAATCAACCCTTTATACAAACGGGTCTTTAGAGAAGAAAATACAGATTTAGGTCATGTCTCTTCTAGCATCTAAAATAGGTCTCGAAGGCTATAAGTATCGTGTTAAAAATCTATTTTGGGTTTGGTTCTGCAATATGTATGTTGGAGACAGTCTAAGGCCTAGTTTAAGTCTAGGACGTAAAGTTTTTGGGTGTCACGTGTCACATGGAGGTGTTGCATGTGGTGTTTGGATACTAATAAAAAAACAAATTACA